GCCGGTGCAGCCCCGCGACCCCGGCGGCGGTGCGGGAGGACAGGGTCCGGATAGCCGCGCTACCGCTGCTTCTGCCGCCGAAGCCGGAGGCCCGGCGCCCCCGGGAGCCCTGCGCTGTGCCCTAGGGGACCGTGGCCGCGTGCGGGGCCGGAATGCGCCCTATTTTGTGGCCGAGCTCGTTGAAGGCCCCAGCGCGCTGTCCTCATTGCCCCCTCAGCCCAGCCTTGATGGGCCTTCGGGAACCGACAAGCTGGACGCCCCACAGCCGCTGTCGGGCCCGTGCCGGCGAGGATGGCTGCGGGGCGCCGCCGCCTCCCGCCGCCTGCAGCAGCGACGTGGGCTCCAGCCCCAAGCCCGCACCGGCGACGACGACCCGCACCGGCTTCTGCAGCAGCTGGTGCTCTCGGGGAACCTCATCAAGGAGGCTGTGCGGAGGCTTCATTCGCGACGGCTGCAGTTACACGCAAAGCTTCCCCAACGCCCGCGCCGGGGCCCTCTGTCGGCCCCAGTGCATGAGCCCCCTTTGCCCCACAGCCCTCGCGCGGCTTGCAGCGACCCTGGCGCGTCCGGGAGGAGGGCACAGCTCAGAATTGGCGACAGCGTTCTAGTCCCCAGCAGCTAACACCCCGGGAGTGGCCACAGCGCCAGCCTCTGCCTGTAGGGCAAGGGGTTCTCCTGAGGGCTGCGTCCCCACTCAAACTAGTGAACTTGCGCTTTTGGAAGCGGAAAAATAACTAATGAAGACGAGGAATTGAAAAATCGCGAATGTTTTCGCGGGGAACTGAGGTCCAGGGCCCCAATGTGTTTGAAAAACGGGACTTGGTCCTATTTAAGGCAGATTACAGAGCACATCTCAAGCTCATAGTAGGACTCCTTATTTGGCGTGACCAGATCTGGTGGCGCAGTATGCAGTTCCACGTAGCCTCTTGGGCCTCCAATCCGGCGACCATGTGGCCACAGCCCACGCTTCTCAGGATCGCCGAGCGTGCGAAGGACGGGGATAATTCCAGTTGCTTTACCTTTCCAGGGCTGGTTCCTGATCCACTCTGTGGGGAGAGGAACATGAGTAGATCTTTTCAGGGAGTACCTCAAACTGCCAGACTTGAACGTTTAAGACCCTAAAAAAAAAACTATCTCGTGTATTTTGAGGTGCTGGTTCATGATATAAAACATGCGGTACCATGAAGGGACCTTTTCTCTGCCCCCGCTTTGCAACTGGCTGCAAGTGTTGGGGGAAGGCGGTGCACCCGGGATGCTGAAGGGAGATGGGGGAGGGCGGTGCTGGAGAAAGGGGAAGGCGAGGCGCGGAGTGAACCCTCGGTCCCCTGGAAAGTGTATTTTCACAGCCTGTCCACCCCTCCTCGGGTTCAAGGTCACTGTTTCCTGGGCACGAGATTGCGGGGCCCCAGCAGGGCAGAAGAGTCGCCCGGTTCCGCCCGTATTCGGAGTAGAGCTTGGTGTTTTGCAAGTGCTGGAGTCTCCTGAGGACACGGGCACCGCTGCCACCGCGGGTGTAGGGAGGCGGGGACATGCTGGGCGCCGGCCGCGCCCAGGGCTTTCACGGAAACTGCCCCTAGACATGGCCTTGGGTTCCTTATTTTCCCCTCGGCTCTGCAGTCCTACTCGAGCTGGTGGCGCTGACCTTCCTGGGGGCCCAGGCTGGGGGCCGGGGAGACGCCACGTGACGGGCACTCCAGGGACACACAGCCTTGCACAGCGGCTTATAATGGGCTCTCCGGGGCCATTTGCAATAACAGCTGCAATTCCCTGGATAGATGGAGTTGATTTCCTCCCTCTGCCCCTCCCCCAGCCATGCCAGCTCGCCTTTGTAAGTGAAGGAAACAGAGTAGAAAATGTGACCGACACTCCAAATGGAGAAGCTGCAGGCTTTGCCATTGTGAACCTAAAGTACTTACAACCTAATGTTCACTCACTCTGAAGGATTTAAGACTGTATTGTTGGCGTTTTAGTTTTATAAGATTCAATGGCTAGTTCATCACCCAGATGTGGCTATTGACATATCTACACTTCGCACCGGAGTGTCTGAAATTGTGGCTATCCTGGTTATAGGATGTTAACTTAACGGAAATATCTCTTTTTAATAAATGTGTTGGGTTTTTTGTTTGGTTTTATTTTATACCTGTCGTCCGTGGGAAAGATGCATAGAACACATTTCTCTGATCTCCATAAAGATGAAAACACTTGAAATCCTAGTCAGCCTGGCTTGTGGATGGTAATTAGAGCGCTTTTGTGTCTGAGGAGCTCACTAGTTAGATAGGGTCCGTGCGGCTGGGTGTGTATTGGTGCTGGCATGAAATTAAATGAAAGTGAGGTCAGGTTTTGGACCAATCCCATTGGTCCTTAGAGCCTTCTGGATTACTAGTCAGTGGTGGAGATGTTTTATGAAGCTGCTTCTGACTGTATTAGCAAAGGACACCAGATCAGTCACTGCAGACTGGGAGGCTTATCACTTTTTTTTCCTTTCTATTGTGGTCAGTAAGTGCTCTTGTTCATAAGATGCCCCTTTAGGCTGGGGCTTCTCTTGTTAGGGGCTGCTCCGGATGCAGACCTGCAGTGGGAAAGCTGGCTGGTAGAGTATGAAAGGACTCCTCTCTTTGCCCTTGGCACATTCGCTCCCATTCTGTCTCTGAGCAGTGACGTAACAGTCCATCTGTGTCCCTCCTCTTCTGTTACTTCATTCTGTACCCTCCAGGAAGGAGCCATGCTGGACAACTAGGGTATCTAGAGTTCAAGTCCTCTTATTAGATGTGGACCTTGGACAAGTTACTCAACCTCTGTGGGCTTCAGTTTCCTCATCTGTACAACAGATGAGATGTGAGGTGATGAGAAAAAGGGTTATGGTTACTGGCATGTACTGGAGATGAAGTCTCTAGTCCCCACCCCTTCCTTCCTTCCCAGGACTGTCTCTTGGTAGCCAAGTGACTGGGTCCTCGGTTTCTCATGAAACAAGGGCATGCCATGATCCCAAAAGTGCTTTTAGGTTGAGTGCTATGTGATTGAGAGTCCTGATTTTTGAACTCACTTTTGGACTCTCCCTGTTGTCTATACCTCTCCATTCTCTCTCCAAATACATACACAGACCCTGATGGTCTCAGAAATTCCTCCAGAACACACTAAGCCAGCCATTTCCCACAGCCTGTCCGGGAAGGGTTGTGAGGTGACCAGTTCAGTGCCACCCAGCAAGGGAATGGTGCCTGTGGAGGCTCTAACACAAACTGAGGAAGGGGGCTTCCAACAGTGCAGTGGGCTTCCCACTCTGGGCACTGAGCAGGAGGAAAGTAGTCAGGTGCTGACTTCCCCTGGCACTGGAGTAGCCCTGAGGTCCTGGTCCCCCCTTCTTATTTGGGGTGAGATTTCCTGGAGGTCAAAGGTCTAGGAGCAATCCAGTGTCAAACTCGCCATGATTTGATGCCACTGCACCAACTGTGCTGGCTGACTTCTTGTAATGATGGGTTAAAGCTAGACCCAACCATAGCGTTCACACAGTACAACCTCCTCCTTTAAAAAGGAAGACGGGAGAAAACTAACGCTACTTGAGGCACTTTAAATGCTCTATAACCCTGTAACTGTCTATCTTTAAAAATTCTGTGAGGTCTAACTAGTCACCCCCAAAGCCTTTTTGGGATTAAGCCAGGATTTGCATTAATGATTTTTAAAAGTTATTAGAACATTTTATAGGTGGAAAAATAGTCTAGGAAGGGGGCAGGGCAGAGTGACCTACCAAAGTCATTTATGAAGTCAAAGGCCTAACAGAGTCTAGATCCCGGGTGTCCAGTCTCCCAGTTCAGGTCTCTTTCCAACAGCCTGATACCATCATACATAGTCCAATATTGTTCACAGCACAGCTCCACACAAACTACCATGTGAATGACACCCCTGCAGTTGTCTGATGTGATAACCCTGCCATTGGAACCCTGGAAAGCTAGATATGCTGTAACCATTTTCTTACAAAACATTCAGTATCCTGTGAAGACAGCTGGCCAACAGCGGCCTGGGTAAGATAAAAAACCAAAGCTATAAAGTCAATGAAAAAAAATGCAAAATAAACTAAAACACAGAAATTGACAAATGATTTGGAGAAAACAATGCCACTCCTCACAGAGAACTCCAGAGTCTGCCAGCCCAAGATTTTATTCTAAATTAGAATGAATACAATATTTGAATTCAGTTTTACCCTTTTTCGCTCTTTCCTTTTTCAGCTCAGAAGCAGAAACATGGAGTGTAGATCAGGCACCACTTTCTTATCCAGCAAAGTCTGTGTCCAAACCCTGTGATCCCTTCCTTCCAATCAGGAAGGAGTTGCCCTGGCAACCAAATTACTAACTCACTCAATTAGCTCCCCCCTCTTCCACCAATGCTTAGTAATCACAGAATGTCAGCCCCCGGAGAGCTCAGCCATCAGGGGTCTAGTGCTACCGCCTCATTTAGAGATGGAAGCACAGAGAGGTTTCCACTTGGAGGTGCACTCCATTTGAACACTGTGAAGGCTGCGCAGGCAAAGCGGCAAAAACTCTTCCATGCAGCGCTTCCTCCTGTTTTTCCATCCATGACTGAAAGGAGAACAAATGTCCTGCCCATAACAATGTTTCCCAGGAGACGTCATAGATAAGAGCGTGAGTGGGCTCTGCAGGCAGCCCTGCATTGCTAGCTGTATGATTTGGGACCAGGTCCTTAACCTCAATAATCTGAATTAACTCATCTGCAAAATGGGGATAAGAATAGTGCCTACCTTGAAAAATTGGATAAAGGTTAAATTAGATCATGAATGAGAAGCAAAATAGCAAATAAACGCTCTAATGAAACAAAACATTCCTGGAAGCTGCTCCATTAAGGCCACTACTTTAAGTCATTTGTGGAAAATCTGCCTCTTACTGACTTCTTCAATCTGTTTCTTAAAAGGAATTAAACTGTTTGCTCTGCAGATAAATCTTTTCTTGAACATGCACCCCTGCTGTATAGGCAAGGGCTACGGGAAGTGCAGAGGAAGGAAATAATCAGTCTCGAAGAGGTTTAATCCGAAAGGGGTGGAGGTCCCCTTCAAGCCAAACCTTGAAAACAGCTCAGGACTGGGACTGGTAGACTCGGGGCAGCAGGAAATATTACAGGGGGAGGGTTTGTGGTGAGGACACCCTGAGGCCAAGGCTCTTAACGCCCCCATTTTTATCAGAAACTCATCCCCTTCTCATTCAAATTTCAGTGCTCAGCTTAAGTTCTGTGTGCCTGCCCTGTTCTCTCCCATCTAGAATTTGTCCACAGAAAACCGTGCAGTTTCTTCGCATGAGGTGATCTTCATTTTGTTCTCATTCTTCATTTTATTTACTGTCATTATAGGGTTATCTCAGGGGCTCATATGTGAATGTCTTCTTTTCCCAAAGAGATTATTTATTCTTTGGTGGCAGAGGAGTGACAAGTTGAAGAGGACGTTTTAGGCAGATTATCAGGTGACACAGTGCGGGGGATGGACTGAGGTTGAGGGGGAGAATTTATGGTCAGCCAGATCGGTTGGATGGCTGTTACAGCATCCAGACACCAGGTGATAAGGGCCTGGGCGGGAAGAAGAGAAGACAAGAAGGGACACATTTCGAAAAGAAAACCTGTAGTCCTCAGTACAGTACCAGGTAGCTGTTAAAATGCGGGCTCTGGAGCCAGACTGCCTGGGTCCCAATCCTGGCTCTTTCCTTTAAAGCTCCTTCCTGTGACCTTGGGCAGGTCTTCACTTCTCTCACCTAGCTGTCCTTATCCGCTAAGTCTGATAATAATAAAGTCCCTGCCTCATCAGGTTGTAAGGATTCATTGGCAATTGTTAGTAAAAATGCTTAGGCCACTGCCTGAAACAGCTGCATTTAGTAACAACGCCTGGGTATTGGCATTTAGTAAATATTTGTAGAGCAAACAAATGGAGAGTTTCAACAGACTTGCAGAGGCTAAGAGAGTGCTTGGGGTACAGATGATGAATTGTGGTGCCTGGAGGTTCGGAGGGGATGGGAAAAGATGAACAGCAACTAAAAAGGGAAAACGTGGCTAGAGGATGTGCAAAGGGATGAATAGAAGGGAAAATGCTATAAAGGACAAAGTTCCTTGAAAAGGTGGGAAGGGATGGGGTACTCGGGGCAGGTTTGAAGGGCAGGGCTCAGGGGGACTGTCTGGGTGGATGTCCCCCATGACAGCATAATCACCTTTCCCCAGTCACAAACTCTCGTACCCCAGCGAGGCCGGGGAGCTGATGGTTGGCTGTTGAAACAACCTTGTAAACCCTTCATGCCTGGGATGGCTGGGTATGTTTCTGTTGTTTTTGTATGAAGGAATCCTTCTTCTCTGTACCTGACACTATAATAGAATGAAAACCCAATCTGATACCAGAGTTTATTAACTGCTCCCCCTTATCAATTAACTGCCTCGTAAGAGGTAAAATTCACCACCCCCAATTGCTAGGCTGTTCATGCAGTTTGTTTGACTTATTGATTTGGGTGGGTTGAAAAGAATCACAAGCTGGTTATCATCTTGTTACCTTTGCCCTGCCTTTTGCCCGTTTCTTTTTTCCTGTCTAAATTAGATTTGGTTTCCTAGATTTTCCTGAAAATCTTCCCCAGGCACTGGAGTCATAATCACCTTTCTGCAAATGCACCATAAATAGCACTTCTCTTCAGCTGGGTTAAGCAGGGCGAGAACTCACAGTGTGGATGTTCAAAACATACTACTTAATTGTGCTGATAAAGAGAAGTTGAATAACTTCAGGATTAAAGAAAGGTAGGGAAGGTCACTGAGCAAGGTCTGATTCCATATACCCTGGACCTGACCACAGAGGGTATAGAGAGATCATACAGGTATAGCTCTGCGTTTGTGTTGGCACACGAGGAAAGTTTGAGAATGGAGATGCTATTGTGTTGAGGTATTTACTGGGTCAAGTTTTGTGAGATGATCTTAAGGACTTTAATAAATTCAACATGGGAGGAAATGGTGTACACACACATACCCACCATCTCATACAGTTCACCCTTCAGCCTCCCTTGGCTTCTCATGGTTCTACTCTTGATCTTTGTAAAGTGCTTGGAACAGAGCCTGGCTCATGCTAAGCACTATATTCACTGGCTAGTGTTAC